ATCCCGGGATCCCGGTGTTTTTGACGTCCCGGAAATCCCGGGATTTTCTTGCATTAATCCCGGGATCCCGAAAATTTTGAAAATCCAATTGATAGTAAGAATTTGTTTATGAATTTTGAAGTACGTTTTTTTTTATAAAATGCCGTTTTGACTGCAATCAACAAAAAGCTTGAAACTGTACTTTTAAATTGCAGTCTGTGCCTTTTTAGAAGAAGATTTCAATGAATTTACTCATAGCGTCGCTAATGTAAACGAAACAGAGTTTTAAGGAAAAGTTAGATAATTTTTTAGATCAATCTACTCAAAACTTCCTCGAATCGAAAAACTTATAATTTGACCGACGTGCTGGTAAAAGAAGTTCAAATATTTTGTAATGGAGGAGATAGGCGTCATTATGGATTATGTCTACCTTTTGACAGTTCAGCCTAAAAGTGTTGATGCCGAAATATGTTTTTCATCAGTAGACTTTGTATGTAAAAACTGCAGGTCAAAATTAGAAGACTCCGCTTTGAATGCTTTGCTGCTCTTACGAAAACATTTTATGTGCAATAATAACAACACCGGCAAAAAAGGGGTGTGTGTTTTTAACCAGACCCAACTACCAACATGTATTTCGACACGCTGAATCCGATTCTGAGATCCGTTTGACTCATACACCCTCATAATTTCTAGTAAGTTGCGAAAAAAATGGCAAAAAATTCTCCATTCGCCATTTTTTTGTAGAGTAGAATAAACATGTTTAGAGAAATTGTTTTTGTATATTTTTGTTTTACGTTTTTTTACTAATCGTCACTTTCAAAAGTACCTGGTATTTACATTATTATTTGGCTGCGTTTCTTTATACATTCCGGATAATCCCATTTCACAGCCGGAATAAACAGAATGCGTTTGAAATATACGTCAACATATCATCAGGAACGTTCTAAAGAATAAATAAACAAAACAGTTTATTCCAAACGTTCAGAAAGAATAAAGAAATGCAGCCTTTGTGATGTATACGTTCCTCAATCACATGGTTTTTTTAAATACAATTTAAAAAAATGTTTTACTTTAAAATTTGTCTGATTTAAGCGTAGCTAGCGTAGAGTGCAAAGATGCTAAGTCCCAATTTAAAAATTGTACAGTAGAGGAAACAGCTTCGTATAGCCATTTTCCTCAAGTATTTCGCAAAACTTTGAATACAACATTTTGCCTGTTTAAAGAAAGCAAAACTCCATACGAATCGGAGGGATTCGATATTTATTAAAAGATTTCGAACTTTTTTGGCCTTATCGAATTTTCGGAGCTTTTTTTTGGCCTTAGCAAATTTTCCTTTCATTGAATATAAACGAGAAAACATAAAACAAGGACCTTTACCCTTTTCGAAACGATGCAATTTTAATTTATCTAGCCTCCTATATCAAAATATGATTTTTCATTAAAAGTGAAGTTAGAAACTTTTCACTCTAAACTAGCGATATATGAATTTTTACTCATATTCATAAAATTTATGACTCAACTTGAATCCCGGGATAAATCCCGGGATGCCGGGATTACAAAAAAATATCCCGAAATCCCGGGATCCCAATTTTCCTCATATTTTGGCATCCCTAGTGTATACATATGTATATATGTATGTACATTAAAGTGGTCCAAAAATGTATGTAAAAAAATAAGGTCGCATTTTTTAATGCCGCCAGCCCCTAGGATTGTTCCATACCAAAAAAAAATATACCCATATTTTTTTTTTGAAATAAAAAAAATTTAGGGAGTGCTCAAAGCGCTCAAAGTTTTCAATGCATTTTATATGGGGAAAAAACAACTTTTCGTAGAAATAGTGTAGAATTCTTGCAAACTTTGCTTATCTTCAGGAGATTCCCGGTAATAATACCCAATTGTTTCTTTAGCAATTTTTTCATGGTAACTATATTTTATAGGTCCTAGAAAATGCAATGGGGGGACCAATAAAAAATCTTGAATCATAAAAAATTGTTAAATAAACAATTGGATGTTAATATTTGAAGTCTCCTGAAGAGAACCACAGTTGAAAAATATTGATTTTGAAGAGTTTTATACCATTTTTACGAAAATTTGTTTTTCCCCCATATAAAATACATGGAAAACTTTGAGCGCTGTGAGCACTCCCCAAATATTTTTTGATTTCAAAATAAAAAAATAGGGGTATATTTATTTTCGGCTCAGAACAATCCTAGGGGGTGGCGGCATTAAAATTCCGACTTTATTATTTTGGACCACTCTAATGTACATGTATGCAGTAGAGGTTTACGCCGACAGGCTTTGCGGCGGCGGCTTGGGCAACTTCAAAAATAATCGGCGGCGGCGGCGACGCCGGCGCCACTGCCCATAAGGTAGATTCCAAAGAGCCATGAGGCTTCTAATCTTATCATGTCACCAGATTATAATTCTATTTAATTCATTCATTCATTGAATTCAAATGTTGAGTGACTGCTGCTGATGGATGGGCGAACAGAAGAAAGTTTATATAGTATATACATTAGGTTTTTTGAAAATTTAAAGACCCCCCCCCTAATTTGGTTCGTTTTTATGAGAAATAATATTGCCAATTTTATAGATTTTTTAAAGGCCATTTAGAGGTCGCGGCCTGTCGATATAGGTCAGAAAATACGATTTTCTAGATTCATGAGTTTTTGAATTACTATTTTTATTCCACAAGTTGAAAATATGTAGTACTAGCGTACAAAAAAAATGATTATCGATGGGCACCCTAATATACATACATCTCTATGTACTCTACAAAACTGTATGCACTATTTCAATATAAAGAAATAAAAAGATTTAAAGGTTAAGTTATTAAGGTAATTTATGTCGCTATCAATAAAGTTTTGTAATAAGCTTATCAATGTTATTAAATTCTTACGATTTTTGCGGGTTATATATTGAAAATAAGGTTGGCCTACTTTTTTCCAAAAGTTTAACCCATCAACTCTCACCAGAACGGGCCTTTTTGACCCGCTGTTTAAAAATGGCTTATAAATGGTTAAAATTTCCACTAATATATTAAGCGCCAAATTTTTCTAATGAGAACAGAATGTAATGCAAAATAATAGTAATTTTTCCCAAAAAGTGGGACTTTAACTCTGTGTAGAAAATATTGCGATGCGCGGGAGCAAAACCTTCCTGGGATTTGACCACTACTTAGGTATACTAACGTAATTTTCACACAGCCACCTAGTTCTTGTATACGTCTGTAAGACCCCAGAATAAAGTAACTTACGAATGTAAAAATTAGCAAAAAAAAGTGTTTGCTTTTTATTAAAATTCTGTTTAAAATATTTAAAAAAGCACACAGGACAATCAACTAGTCTTTGTTTTATCTCCAATAATTGAGGAGTTAGATCCATTAAAACTGCTTTCTGAGATATTGGCGTTAAAGTTTTTGATGCGTTATAACTTTCTTGTTGATGTAGTATATAAAAAAGTAGTATTGTTGTAGTATTGAAAAAAATTTTCTACTGCAAAAAAAATCGTCAGATTACCAGTATTCGACCCTAATTTAACTGTAATAAACGCTGTCGATCGAAAAACGTGTTACCTATGTTTTTTTCTGAGTTACGCTTTTTTGAAATGTTCAGTGGGCCAAATTATGAAAAAACTCCTTTTAAAAATGTAATTTTCATTTCGTAAAATAGTGTTTTTATACGAGTAGTATTTAGTTCATTCACACGATGTATTTCAATGTGCATACAACATGAAAATTTTGTACAAAATTCCTGAGGCTCCGAACGCCGCCGCCGATATTTTCGTAACTCGGCGGCGGCGCGTGAGAAATGACAAAAAACGGCGGCGGCGGCGGCGGCGAATATTTCCTTATAGGGAATTCGCACGAGGCGATTGTACAGGCGACAAAAGTTGAATGCGAAGTTGAATGAGAAGTTGAAAGTGAAAAAGTTGTCCACCCTATTCAGACGAAGGGATTTTTGATTCAACACGAATTGATATTTACATTATTGAAAATTAATTTAAATCGCAAAATTTTATGAATTGGCGTTAATTTGGTAAGCCAAGCGTTGGCAGAAGTGCTTTTAGCGAAGCTGCAAGATAGAATAAAAGTAAAAAAGTAAAAAATAAAACAGTCGTCGACTACACTCCGTACCGAATAGTTGTGTTAATTTTCGCTGTGTTACTCTCTCTTAGAGTGTTCTTACACTCCACGTGCTTAGTGCAATTGACTTTTCTATAATTTTCTTGCTGTGTTGAATAAAAAGAAAATGAAAAGCCTGAAGTGTTGATTTCTAATGGAAAACAATATTGTGTTCCCTTCGGGGAACCGATTTGACATACTATCTGATAGTATGTTAATTTCCCCTAAATCGAAACGAAAAAAAACAATGAGTGCAAAAAAAGACCTCTACCCACCCCTACCATCGCCAGTCAATAAAAGTGTTAGCCAAAATGATCCAAAATTCATTATTATAAAATCCTCTGATGAAAACAACCAAATCTCTAAGCATAGTGTGTTCGCTAAAAAGAAAGCCCTCGACGGAATAAGTACAGAGTACAGTTCTGTAAGCATTCTCCGGGACGGCAGTTTGTTAGTACTAACAAAATCGAAAAAGGTGGCAGAAAAGTTCTTAAAATGTAAGAACTTTGGTGGCTTATGCCCAATATCTGTGTCCCTCCATGAATCACTTAACACTTGTAAAGGTACCATTTATGACAAAAACCTAGCCGAAACCGATGAAAATGAAATTCTCGAAGGCCTGAAATCGCAGGGAGTTGTAGGTGTATACAAATTTACCAAACAAGTAAATGGAAAACCAATGCCAACAGGTCGAATGGTTCTTACATTTGACTTATATAAAGTCCCCCAAGATATCGACGTTGCATGGTATTCCCTAAAAGTGGAAGAATATTTCCCAACACCAATGCGTTGTCGTAATTGTCAGCTTCTCGGACATACCATTAAAAAATGCAACAACAACACCACCTGTGAGGTCTGCAATCTCCCTCCCCATACCCCTGATCGATGCCAACGTAAAATGTGCGCTCACTGCTTTGGTACACACCCCGATTCAGCGAGAGACTGTCCTAAATACCTAGAGCAAAAACAAATATTAAAAATAAAAACGCAAAATAAGTGTTACTTCAACGAAGCCAAGCGGCTATTCAAGCTACAAAACCCGTTTTCTATCAATGGAAAACAAACATATGCATCTACAATAACTTCCGATCCTTCACCTGCTCCACCATCTAGTACAATAGGCGAGAATACACCATCTCATTTAATCTCAAAAACAACAACGTCTAACACCACTCAAAACACAGAAAATAACTTACGCACCAATAAGCCACCCGCACTCCCTTCACCTAAGCCCTCACTCAACTCAGTAGATAATACCACATCAAATTCCACATCTCTCACACCCAACGTTCTCAAATATAACCAAACCACTACAGCACAAGTATCATCCACTTTTGAAACACAGCCGACCACAACTATCTCACTTACTCCAACATCTCACAGCATAGATAACTCTCACTTATTTACAATAAACAACTCCGATATGAGTGCCCTGCCACTCACAGCGTATACGCCTCACCTCAGTACAAACTCTCTCAATAACTCAATCGGTGATCAAATTGATCATACGATTGCTAATACTACCAATCCATCAGAAACTCCCTCAAATTACCAATTGTCCGATGATTACATGAATTATGTACATCATCAACTCCTCTCTTCATCTTTCACTCAGGCTCAAGTCGATGATATAGAAATAGATCACGACGAACCTACACTATGAGCTGTTTTTCACTTAACAGCTTTTATAGTGAATTAAAATTAATATATTGCATTATGATACTTAATATTCTACAATGGAATATTAAAGGATATCACAACAACTATCCAGAATTAGAACTCCTAATAAAAGATCGCAGACCCCACGTTATATGTATCCAGGAAACCCACCTTAAACACAATTACTTTCCACATCCACCAGTGCAATACTCAGCGCGTTTTCATAATTTCCCTCACATTAACAATGCTAAGCAAGGCTGTGGCATACTAGTTCACAATAGCATCCCACATAAAATCGTAAATATCACCTCTAACATCTCAGCAGTTGCCATAGAAGTTAACCTTCATTATCCAATAACCATTGTATCTATATATATTCCACCACTCCAAAAGTTTTCTGTCTCCGACTTGGAGGCAATCACCTCTTCAATTAACACACCTGTAAATCTAGCCGGGGATTATAACAGTTGGAGCCCCCTCTGGGGCTCACCTAAAGCTAATCCCCGAGGTATAGTAATAGAAGACTTTATACTCAGTTCCAACCTATGTGTACTTAACAACAATAGTCCAACACACTTCTCTACACACAACACTTTCACTCACGTAGATATAACTTTGTCGTCACCCCAATTACTCCCAATTGCGACTTGGTACACGCTAAAAGATTTGCATAACAGCGACCATTTCCCAATACTCTGCTCGATTTCATTCCCTTCAAATAATTCTTACAATAACCCTAGGCCAGCTAGATTCAATACAGCTAAGGCTAACTGGGATAAATACCAAACCGCTCTTAGCTCCAACCATTTGCCGGATTTCACGCAAAGGAACACTAATAAAGAAGCAGCGATTATAACAAAAGCTATCAGAAATGCAGCAAATGTAGCTATACCAACAACCTTCCACCCATATAGGTCAAGGCAAGTCCCATGGTGGACCCCTGCTTTAAGTGATCTCCGTAAAGAAAAAGTTAAAGCGTGGAGGGAATATCAACAATTAAGAAGTATCGAGGCTTTAATGCCCTATTCAATAGAGAAAAGAAATCGGCCAAACGTAAGAGCTTCGAAAATTTCACGAAGGGAATTAACCCGAACTCCTCAACAGCAACTATCTGGGAAGGAATAAAAACTCTCACAGGTACATATAACCCCACAAGCATTCCATCCATAAATATTAATAATTCAAACATAACTAATAGAAGCGACATATCTTTTGAATTCGCCCAACATTCTTCAAAATCTTCTGAATGCTCTAATTTCCCACCGCAATTCATTGTTTCTGCCCGAAATGTGACCACCATGCGAGCAAACGATAATACCGATAATCTAGCTAAACATCTCGAGAGCGATATCAATTACAGAGAACTGGAGTATGCTCTAAAATCGGTGAAAAGTACCACTCCGGGATTTGAAAAAATTAATTACCAAATGCTAAAAGAAACACCGACACCCATAAAGCTAAGACTACTCCAGCTCTACAATTCCATTTTAGACTCCGGTGTGATTCCACAAAGTTTTAAGACAGCCACAATCATCCCAATACTCAAACCGCATAAAGAACCAAACGACTTAGAAAACTATAGGCCTATCTCACTAATTCCGTGCATGAGCAAAATCATGGAAAAAATAATCGCTACAAGGTTGATGTGGTACTTAAATACTAAAAAGCTTCTATCTCCGTTTCAAGTAGGATTTCAGTCCGGGACGAGCACCTTGGATGCTCTTCTTTTCCTTGATCACCACATATGTAAAAATCTTTAAAAAAAAAATCACATTTCTATCCTTTCCGTAGATTTTGCCAAAGCATTTGACAATATTGGTGGTCACGTGGTCTTGCAAAAACTACAAGAGTGGCGAATCGGCCCTAAAATTTTTGAATATGTGAAATCATTTCTGACAAATAGAAAATTTCGTTGCAAAACAAATGATACCTTTTCCAAAACATTTCCCCTCCACAATGGCATTCCCCAAGGCTCCCCATTGTCGGTCACACTTTTCTTGGTGGCATTCGACGATATAAGCAGACTCATGAGTAAACAGCCTAACATCAATCACTGCTTATATGCCGACGACCTTTACCTCATTTGCACCCAAACAAAAACCTCAGATATTGAAGAGTCTTTCAATAACGCCTTAAATGCCATAAACAACTGGTCACAACAATCGGGTGCCCTAATTTCCCCGAAGAAATGCAAACACTTGCATATTTGCAAAAAACAAAATTGCAAGGAAATACATGTCAAAAATGACAACTATACTATATCCAACGATAATAATATGAAAATTTTAGGTATAACATTTGATTCTAAGTATAACTTTAAGTATCACTGTTATAATATAAGGAACGCACTAGCTACCAGGTTGAATATTACAAAGTATCTATCCTCAAAAAAAAGTTTTCTACATACTAACACCTTAATCGATATTACCAAATTAACAATTCTGAGCAAAATTGACTATGGATTACAAATCTACGGCACCACCTCCAAAACTCACCTCAGGATGATTAAAGGCCCTTATCATTCTGCTGTAAGACGAAGCCTAAGAGCGTTTAGAACTACACCAATAAAGAACTTGTTAACCGAAGGTGGCTTTCAGACAATCGAATCCAGAATAAAATATCTCAGAAGCCGTATAATTTACAAACTCTACTCCTACTCACCAAACATACTAAGTCACGAAATTCAACTCCTTAACAAACGAAAAACCGCTCTAAAAAGAAAATCCGCTTTGTGTGAGATAAAGGAACTTGCAGAATTTCTCAACTTAACTTTTTCCCCACCAAAACTTGCCCCGGCTAAAATCCCACCATGGGAACTTGACAACAAGATATTTATAAATGAGTTAACACTCCGACACAAAGACAAGACATGTCAATCTACTTTTCAAAAGCTATACACTAGCATCGTTACTCCACTAAAGCAAGCAGGATGGAGCTTTCTGTTTAGCGACGGGTCAAAACAAAAAGACGGTGTCTCATTTGCTGTGACCGACGAGAATGGTCTAACGCAGTCCCACGGATTACTACCGCAATATGCGAATATATTCGACGCAGAACTACAGGGATTACTTTCGGCACTGCAACTGGCTAAAGAATCCAACAAATACTACGTGATATGTACAGACAGCAAATCGGTATTCCTAGCTTCCCAAAAATTTCAAATACGAGACAGCCCGTTACGATCAATCCAACAACTACTGATGAATGCCTCACCAAAAATAAAATTGATGTGGATCCCATCTCACTCAGGCATCTTGGGCAATGAGCAAGCAGACCGTGCTGCGAAATCCTCGTTAAAAGACTGTCTTCACGTCTTCATGCCATTGGATGCGAAGTCACTAAAAACCTATTACTCTAACGCCCTACGTATACATCTTAATGAGGAATGGTCAACTTACACCCACGCATACAAAGACATAAACCCTCTCGGCGTTCCGATCAAACTTCCTACCAACACCTCAACATGGGCCAACAAATGCTTCATTCGCCTCAGACTAGGACATACACTTATAACACATGAATATATTTTGCAATCGAAATCTCAACCCAAGTGCCACTTCTGCAACAATTACAATCTAGCAATCCAGCATATTTTATCAGAGTGCCCAAATCTGCACGCTCAACGTACTCAAGTATTTCGAAGACAGAACCCACTCCAACTAACCCTACGACATCCCTCAGAATCCAACATAAGGCTAATTGTCAACTTTCTAAAAGATATTAACATTTTTCACCTAATTTAAAGATCTAGTAATAAGTATTATATTCATATGACTAAGCCGATAGCCTTGGTAGCTTGTGCTTAAAAGTTATTTTTGTAATTTTAATTATAGATAACAAATAAATAATAATAATAATAAAAAATAAATAAGTATGTATACAGAATGTAAACAAACACAGGGTTGCAAGGAAAAAAAGTTGAACGAGCCGAAAGTTGGCTGGCTACCAACTTTGTTGAAAGCGATTAGTTGAAAGGCCGTTCGGACAAGGCGACTTTTGCTTTGAACTAAAAGTTGCCTGAAAAATGCCTGAAAAATGCCTCGTGCGAAAGCCCTATTACGCTGCAAGATTTGTTGCGATGATTCTTGTGAGGTACAAGTGCTTGCATCAAAAGTAACGAGTAAAGTAATGATACGAAAGATACGGGTGTTGATTGGATTATTAACGAATACATACGGGTATCCGAAATTTCGTTACTTTTACAGCTCTACTGAACGCTGACAATGCAAACGTGAATTACAAAACAGCTAATACAGTGTTGCCATTTCTGTTTCTGCCGTCCCGCTAGATTAATAAACAAAAATCGCTAGAATTCTGGTAAATCATTTAAATTCTGTAAACTCTTATGAAAAAAAAGTTTCTTTTATAATTTAGCGGTTAAACTTTATTTGATAAAATTAAAGATCATATGTTTATAAAAAAACATCAGTTAAAAACAAAATCAAATTGGAACTTCGTTATATGGTTTTGTAACCAGTGTTGGGATTTTTTGGCATTACATAAAGTATAAAAATTGGTCATAAGAATGTCGTCTTCGTTTTCGTGACTATTGAGCTCGTTGGAGTTTGTAAAATGTAGTCAATGCAAAACTTATTTGCATTTTTATGTCCATACCTGCAATTAAAAAAAAAATAAATCATTTGCGCAAGTGCTGTCAAATTAAATACACACCTTTGATTTAATCAAAATGTATATGTACCTTAAGTGCCAGTTTCGCGAAAATAGTTTAAGTGAAACATTTTTTATTTTCTGTCAGGTTCTATATTAAATTCAATTAAAAAAATAAATTTTCATTAAATGGCTTTCATGAAACTGGCTGGTATTTCGACAGGTGGTGATTTGAGATTTACCACTGCACAACTCAACCCTGATTTCTTCGAATAAAGGCTTAACGTAAGGTAACAGGCCATTGGAAATACACGAGAGTTTGATATACTCAATTGTGCAACAATTTGTCGATTTTTAGTAATAACTCGACCTCAGCACCACCTGGCAATTGGACTG